ATGTTTTTTTTTTGTTTGACAACAATATATAATGTATAAACTTACAATTTTTCTCTGTTTGATTTTGTTAAGAAGATTTTGTAATTTAGTATTTGGTTCGATGGAACCGTACGGTAATCTTCCGTGCACGATACTACAAACAAATTATTTTCAATGAAAATAAGCTTAAGAAAATCATATATTTTCAATATTAATTTATATATATATCGAGGATGATTTTTTACCTGTGATATTCATCAGGATTAACATCATGACCTAATGCCTACAAAATTCATGAAGAACGAAAATGAGTGAGATAAATCAATAATGAACTAATTATTAAAAAAAAAAAAATGAAGAAGAACTGAAATTTCTTTACCCTGAGACCAGCGAGAGTACTTCCATAAGTCTTGAAGAGTTCAACTCTTAGACTTGAAGCTTTACTTTCTGAGAATCCAAATTTCTCCACTAGAAAATCTGCCCAGAAAAATATCAAAGTTTAATCGAATGTTTTCGCTTTAAAGAATAGTAAGAAAAAGTATTATAATTGTATGTGTTGTTATGTTATTACCGTCGATGTTTTTCTTGACAGCTGGCGCTATTCCGGTTTTGAGAGGGTATAATGTATCATCCAAATCTTCAAAATAGTAAGAAAAACAAAAATTAGTATTAACTATTAACTGAGTAAATGCATTTTTTTCAAATTACATTTTCGTGTTGTAAATAATTTACCGAAAATGAGACAGTTGATCGGAGAGAAATCCATTGCACGAAAATAAAGTGTTTTGAGTATTTGAGAAAATGAAACCAAAGAAGAATGCATGTAGAAAGTGAGAGGTTAGAGGGCATTTATAGGAAGCTGAGCTATTTTAAATTTGGTTTATCTTTTTTTTTTCAATCATATTTTATTAGTAAAGACGTAAAAAAGAAGAAGTCATATTTTATTTGTTTTATCTATATTTATAATCGTGGATACTGACTGCTGACTCATTGTTCAAATCCTTTTTGTCTGTTTTATCTAAATATACATTTTCTTTGAAAATCCATTACATTATAATATGTTTTTTTTTTTTTGCTAACCAACATTATAATATGTTTTGATGTTAATCGAATCATATTCTATCTTGATTAAACAATCTAAACCCATTTTTCATATTCTATCTTGGATCGAAGAGTTATTATTATAAATGGGGTTCATGTGTTCATGTCATTATGTTTTAGACAGCCAAGTGTCGTATACAACTCTTAACACGCCAACCAAAAATAATTATGTCGTGTACGATTTTTTTTTTTTTCATTTCCCGTGTATGTTTTTTTTTATGCTTAATGACTATATTTCTTCTTCTTCGTGTTGATATAATATTAACCATCTGTTTCAAAATATAAGTTGTTTTAGTTAAAAATACAAATATTAAAAAAATTATTTTTTTAAAAAAATTATAATCTTATATATATAATATAAATTATTTAATCAAAAAAATGACTGCAAAATATTATTGGTCACACAATAGTCAATAAAATTAAAAAATATTTAGGATTATCAAAACAATTTATATATTGAAACACAAAACAAATTTTAAAAATATTTAAAAATGGAGGAAATACAAAAATAATAATGCTTAAATGACTACACTGATATTAAATTATTAATTGAGGATATGTTCCTATCTCTGCATTTCATATATCAAGCAGTGTATATAGTTCTTTCCCGTACACTTGAAAACCATTTTTGTTGTTTTTTTTTTGGCTAAAGAAACCAGTTTTGTTGTTTCTATGAACTGTTAGAATGCAAATGTATTTACGTTTCGTTGAAAGTTTTACAAATAACATTTAATAAATATTTGAAACTTCTAGAATTTAGTTATTGTAAGACACACACAACATAAGTAGTCGATATTTTTTTTTTGTCATCTAAAAAGTAGTCGATATATTAGACTACGCGTCGTTATAGTTTAATACAAAATATCGAAAAAAAGTTTCAAAGAAATGTCAATCATAGGCTTTAGCTTTTAGATGTTTTCTTAACAACATCGCCAACAAGAGGACCTTTTATCACAATATTCAAATAAGATGTCACTAGCAGAAGTTTCTAATTCGACACATAAAACACATGTTGTTTGTAGAAATTAATTGTTCCTCCTATTACGCGTTG